TCTCAAATTTTTCTATGTTGCCCTTCCTAGGCCGATGATTATGAAAATGTCAGTCTGGACCTCATCGGGGTTTCATATCAAAAGTTGTTTCATCTCCTTGTCTAGTTCCTACATTGACCCTCATCCCAAGTTTTGATCCTTTATCGCTAAATGAAAATTTTTGGGATGTGACAGTTTTAACCCTTGTTGGGAGGTTGATTTGAGCCTTAATTTCTTTTCTTACAGAGTCATCCACTTAGTTCGATTATCCTCCAGAACTTGTTTTGGTTCTTAGTTGAGGCTTTGTATGCATTGTTATAGCCTACATCCCAAACACAAACCCATAATATTAATATCCATTGCTAACCACTTGAGCCTTCTTCTTTTCTCAAAGTTCCAAGCATGCATAGTATATATTTAAGTTTCTAACAACACCTTACTAGTACATGTGTGAAGTTGATATTTTTTTTCTACATGGGTTTAGAATTGCCAAAGTTTATTGGGAAAAAAAAGAGAGAGAAAAGAAATAAAAAAAGGGCAAAGAAAAAGATGAAAATGTTGAGAAAAGCCAAGAAGAAGAAGAAGAAGGCTAGAAATAAAAATGATACCAAGGAATAAAATTTTGAAATAAGGCAATTCATTGGTAGTTTTGAAGATCAAAGTTTATGATTGAAGAGAAATTAAGTGTTAGTTTGAAAATCATCTTTGAATGCTTGGTGCTTTGTCATTTATTTCATTCTACGTTCATCCCATTTAGGCCTTTTATCCATCACTTCACCCTTTAAATCCCTCTTGACTCACTACATCTTAGCATGTGTAGTGGAGATTTTAGAACTTCAACAAGCCTATGGTAAGATGTTGACTGAGTGGATTTGAGAGAAATTAACCCCAATTTGGTAAGTTGAGTGAAGCAGTTCAATCCTTTGAGAACTCTCTCTTTTGCTCATCCACATTATCTCAATTGTATTCTATGTTAATTTCTTTGCATTGTCTTTACCACTACTTTGCTTTCTTAAGAGATTTGATTAATGGGATTATGACCGTTCATTTGAAATATGTATGGATTCTCATTTGTCTTAATACTATTCTTGATTTTATTGTCTTTCTCTTTGTCCAGGAGTAAAAAGGTTTAAGTGTGCAGGAGTTGATCTAACCCATTTATTATATATTGTATTATATCATTTCATGGGTTATTATGGGTTATTATGAGCATAATTGTGCATATTTGTGTATGATATAGTTTAGATGCCTTTGCATAGAGTAATGTCTTTTGGGTCAAAATTGTCATAATTAGTGATTAATTATTATTAATTAATTTCTAGGACAATTGGTACTTTATTTAGACTGATTTTGATTGCATGACACAAGAAAAATGGAGCCAAGATCAAAGAATAAAGAACAACACAGCACTAAATGGAGGAAATATGATTTTGTAAAATCCGCCGTGGCAGATAGACAAATCCGCTGTGGCGCCTGGCATGTTTTTGAACCTGTGCATTTTACTTATAAGATCTGACTCTAAACGGTTTATCCACTCAAAATCCAACCTAGACCCGGCCAGAACACCTGAAGAATAAGGAATTTTTCAAAAACCTAGCCACATTCACTTATACACAACCTCTCCCATTCATTTTCTCTCGTCCTCTTCACTCTCCTTCACAAAATCTCCATCTTTTTCCATTTCTCCTTCATTTTCCACCATGGGTAGCCCGAAATTACTACTGGTTGTGGTGCTTCTTGTTCCAATACATGGCTAAGTGTCTGCTCTCTTGAAGATGGGTCGATTGGCATGAGTTCCAAGAGCTTTAAAGGGGAGTTAGCTTTATCCATAGTTCTAGTTGTTTATTTATGAATTCCTAGGTCTTAGGATTTGTAAATTGGGGATGAACTATTTTGATTATAGTTGTAATCAATTTTGAATGATTATCTTGTGTATTGGATTAATTAATGTTCAATTTGAACTTCAATATATGTGGTTACATATATGTTTCTATGCAACTCTTTTGAAACCCTCTTTTTTTCATGGTATTGTTTGATTGTTGAGTTAATCTGGGCTTGTATTGAACCAAGCGCATTAATTAATCCTAATACACTCACTAAGCGAGCTTAATAGGATCTTATGAGATGAGTGGCTATTGATTAAGATCCTAGATTTAAAAGGTTCTTTAAGGTTTTTCCTTTAGAAAACTTGGTGATTTTTACTTCCAAAATCATTTTAAACTATGATTGCCAAAGGTCCATTTTCAAGAGGTTCTATCACATGTTTCAACACTTGTTTCCCATCCATTCCATCCTAATTTCCCAAAAATCCAAAATATATTTACATTGCATTCTATTTCAATTAATAGTTTTAATGAAAACCCCCAACTTTTCCTTAGTCAATTTGTATTTTCATGGCATTTAGTTAACTTAGGATCAATAATTAAGGCTCCAACAAGTGAAACAACTTGAAGTTGTGCCTATAGTACAATCCTTGGTTTTAATTTTGAATTTGACCCCAAGCAAGACATGTCATATTTCAATGTGTAATTAATAATGATACTTTAGACAATGAATTATAAATTTGGAAAATGAAGTAAATTGAGATATTATATTTAATACTAGATCTAATCTCCAACTAACGATTATATTAAGTATCGAGGGTAGTGTGTGTGTGTATGTATGGTCCCTAGGCACCCTTCGCATAAGCATGAGCACATAATTTCTTTATTATACATTCAAAATCAAAAGAACACATGTTTGAGCACTATTACAGTCGAGGTAAAATTAAAGAGATTAACATTAAAAAATTTAAAAATAATCTGAGTAACAGATGGTACCCTCCTTGGTTGATTAGCATAAAGAATCTATCAAATTTGCAATATTTTAAACATAAATCAGTTTGATTATAAATGTTTTTCGTGGATTTTCATCTTATTCAAACATCCACGCTCAAGTATATTTTTCATCCTATCAAATTCAAACAGAGCTTGTCATAAACTGTACGCGTGCCAACAGTATTTCATTTGTCTTCATCCAAGAAAATACGCTTGAGGAGATTCAAGCATTTGAGGATTTCAAATTAAAGAGATCTATTGTTTAGATGTTAAAGAGATCTATAATTAAAACTTGTACTTTAATGTGTGTGGATGTCTACGTATGACATTTAATAAATTCAGCACAAAATTAAACAAAGTTATATTTGAAATTTTCAATTTCCATTTTTAAATTATGTATAATCACTTTTAAATTTTAAATTATATAATATACATAAAAATTTTAAAATTATAATTCTTAAATAATTTTTTTCATATATACTTCAATATTTTCACAAATCTCTCCTGAAAAAAAAAATTCACGTATATTAAAAAATGTTTAGAGTTAAGTTGGATTTCTACTTCTATATTATTTTCAAGCGAAATGGTCAGCTTCAATTTTTTCCCCCATTAGTGAATAAAAAATTATACATAAGACCTTAAAAGATTACATATAGTTGACTAATTAAAAAAAATCATTAACAATTAAACTTAAACTGACTAGTATGCATCTATATCTACCACTCTGTGTGTAAGTCACTTGTAGGAGAAATGTTTATTCCTAAATAAGTCATTTGTTCGGTAATTAATCACTTTTTTTTTCCAATTTCACCTTTATTCAATACAATAAAAAAATATGTGAGAGAAAATGTACAGCATATATTTTATACCCTATCTTTAATGCGGACAATGTGGAAAATTTTATCAATTTAATACATTCCATTGTATGGGAGAATGGGGTACAAGTGACTTACATACCACTAAATTTGTTCCTATATACAAGTCATTTGTAGGAAAAAAATTGTTCCTAACTATAAGTCTCTTGTAGGGTAATTAATGATCTTTTTTCAAATTCAGTCCTATTAAATACAATAAAGAAAATAGGTTAGAGAAAATGTACAACGCATTTTTTCAACACCATTTTTCTTTAATGGAGGCTAAGTGTGTGAAAATTGTATCAATTTAATGCGTTATTAACAAGAATGAGATACTAATGAGTTATGTCTATGGGAGTAGAGTGGTCCTCCCTCTAGTCCTTATTATAAGAAATCAGCAAATTAATTCACTTATACTAACAAAACTAATTAAAAGTATTAAATTTGTCATAAAATTTAAGTAATTTTCAATATTACTCTCATTAATTGTATTAGATTAATTTTTATTCTCCACTATACCCATGTTAAATACAAGCATATAAAAAAATTATTTAATACTCGTTCAAACTATTAAAAGGTCTTATGTAAAAATGATCAAGAATTTCTTTTAGAAGGGCTTCTATAATAAGCGCAAGAGGGAGCGCGTTAATTAAAAGACCACAATAACCTATTCCTATGTATCTATAGATAGATCTACGGCATTTAAGACTTCGAGCAAACGACGAAGCCGACATTAAAATTAAAACTGATTTAATTTAATGATTTGACCGCTATTTTTTGACCCTCATTTTGTATGATTCCAGTGTACATTATTTCTTTTAAGTGAGCTGCTTATTAACTATTTTCAGCTAATAAGCTTCATATATTAAGTTTGTCAGATAGGGGTTTGATTTTGAGGTAAGCCATGACAGTTAGATAGACTTGCAGGTATCGTGGGATACGTGTTAGATTATGATTTACAAACGTGTATATATATATATATATATGTATGTATACGTATATATAGGAATGAAGTATTTTCTACTTTCACTTTTTCTTGCATTTGTTTCCTTCCCAAGTACCTATCAAGCTACCGAACTGTCAACTTTCCATGGAGAAAAGAAATCCTTGCATCATCATGGTTCCATGTCCAGGGTTTAGTCATTTAATACCTCTGACTGAGTTTGCAAAACGACTCGTTGTTCACCTCCCTCATTTCCACTTCACTTTCCTTGTCCCCACACTCGGTCCTCCCTCCCATCTGCACTTTCCATCCTCCAATCTCTTCCACCGCGCATAGACTTCACTATTCTTGAACATGTCGACCAAAACGACATCCCTCGAAACACCCTGCACCCACCAACAAAAATGCATGACTGTAAAACTCGCTCTTCTGTCACTTTGTCAAGCTTTGAGCTCATTGAGTTTCCATGCTCAGCTTGTTGCTCTCATTGCCAATGTATTCTCAGTGGATGCCTTAGAGATTGCAAAGCAGTTCAACCTCAAATCATACGTTTACTTTCCCATGTCTGTTACTTCCTTGTGTTTCTGCATCAAGTTTCCCGAACTTGATGAGGATCAAGAGATGGTTTCTGCTGGATTTCGAGACTTATCACAACCTTTGAAACTTCCAGGTTACCAATCTTCTTGTTCTTGTTTAATTTCTTTTTTTCCTTTTGCCTCTTTGATTCTTGTGAACTTTAGTTCTGTGAATTGGTTGGGTGAATGAAAAATGTAAAAGGAATGTTAAAGAGCTAATAATTACTTCATTCAGGTTGCGTACCATTAAATGGTAAGGATCTGTTCGACACAGTTCAAGAAAGATCAAGTGAATCCTACAAAACAGCTCTTTATAAATGTAAGCGATTGCATTTAGCAGATGGTATGATAGTGAATAGCTTCCTAGATCTGGAACAAGGGGCAATAACATCACTACAAGAAAGTAATCATAAATAACCTCCCATTTATCCAGTGGGGCCCATTTGGAAGACTGAGTCAATTACCATAAACGAGTCAACCTCAAAGTGTTTAAAATGGTTAGACTATCAGCAGAAGAACTCTGTTTTGCATGTCTCTTTTGGGAGTGGAGGAACACTAACACATGACCAGCTTCCCGAGCTAGCCTTCGGGTTAGAAATGAGTGGCCACAAGTTTTTGTGGGTTGTGAGGGCTCCAAGCGGGTCTACTAGTTCGGCTTATTTAAATTCACAAAATGAGAACCCTCTTGACCATATGCCAAAAGGGTTCATTGAAAGAACCAAAGGCCCCACAAATCGAAATTTTGAGACACTGCTCTACCAGTGGGTTTTTGACTCATTGTAGTTGGAACTCCACATTAGAGAGTGTGCTCTATCAAATTTGCAATATTCTAAACATAAATCAGTTTGATTATAAATGCTTTTCATGGATTGTCGTCTTATTCAAACACATGTAGTACACGCAAGTGTATTTTTCATCCTATCAAATTCTAACAGAGCTTGTCATAAACTGTACGTGTGCCAACAGTATTGGCAAAGTGCATGGGGCAGGTGGTTTGTTAATCCTTGCTTAGGTAAGAGGTAACCATTTTCCAATCCTTTATACATGCTATCATGGTATTATGAGTAGTTTTGTTATTTTCTCACTCTGAGTAACAATTTATCATCTAAATGTATTTTATACATTAAAAAGAAAAATTTATCTTATGGGGTTTTGTTTGATGTTGAATGTTTTGGGAAATTTGGAAGTTATGCCACCTATTTAAGTACTTTTAAGATGTGGACTTACTCTTTGGTAAAATGCTTTAGCATGATTCATGTGTTGGGAAATGGTAAGAGACATGGTTAATACTACCATGTGGTAAAGCCTCTACTAATGCATGATGGTTGGTTTTTTACGTCTCCCATAGTGAGGGATAGGCCTTTTGCCTCCTTATGTCCCCTATAGTGAGGGATAGGCTGTTTGCGGCTCTTGAAAATCTCCCAAAGTGAGGGATATGGTTGATGGGTTACATCATTGCACTTGCATGAGTTTTGTGGCTGACGTTTATGAGATTACATGTTAATTGCCCCACTTAACACCTCACAAGTACCTACTAGTCTGTACTTTGAATTGGAAATCTTAGTTATTGGGACTTTAGTCTTACCTTATGGTTTAAAATGTTTTCAGGTAAAGGTTATAGGCATACACCGCCAAGAAGGGATGCAGAGGCTTAAGGTACTTTAGCAGTAATTCCTCTGGCATGTGCACTATGTATTGTTGGACTATATATCGCTACTCATAGGGCCATTTGGAAAATGTTTTTTTTGATATAGTAGTAATGTAAACTGGAGACACTTTTGATTCCTTATTTGGTTGGCCAGAGCTCATTTCTTATCTTTTATGAAACTTTGGTTTATGTTATTGGAAAACAATTGGATGGGCTCATGTTTCATATCTTTTGTTACCTAAGCCGGAGGCTCGAAGGCCCAATAGATTCAAATGAATGGTTTGGTTGCATGCAATAGATTTTTGGGTTTCAGCCTACAGGTTTTGATGTCAGTTTCAAATGTATGTGAATTTCTTTTCTACTATGGTATTTTTTTAGGATGGTTTTCCTTTTCTACCATAATAGTGGTTTTATGACGAGTTTTATACACGTATTTGAGAGGGAAGTTTACAAATTGGTACTAAAAAAAGTCCTTTCCACTTTTGCTCATATTAACTCTTTTCAATCATTTTGTTCTTCTAGTGGCAATATATATACTTCATACATACCTTCCTTGTTTATTTGTGTTTTCTTTCTTTCCTGTACTAATGAGGGCTTCCATCCTTAGTTGGGAAGAGGAAGAATGGTAAGGACACGCTAGACGAACCTAGGTGGTAGCAAGCCGCCTCAAGAAAATGAGGCCTTTTTGAGGCAAATGAGAGAGATGATGACGGCGGTCGTAGATGAAAGATTAGGAAAGTTTGAAGAGGACTTCATGAGGAATCAATAAGAGTCAGTCAATAAGGAGGACCAAGGAAATGATGTGACTATAGAGGCACACGGTGAAAGAGGACCAAGAGAAGGCGAAAAGGGGCTTAGAGGTGGTGACCGAGTTGGAGACATACCTTATAAGGAGGAGATACTTCAAAGGGAGTGATATGCCCTCCACTACTAAATGACATCACCAAGGCATGGAGAGAGGTGCATCGTCATGATCCTCTAAAATTCGAGGAAACTTTAGAATCATCAAATACAGAGAAATAGATCAAGCAGATGGAGACCATTTTTACTGTCATTCCTTGTCTTTCTCCACTCATGGTACAAGTAGAGGTAACCTATCTTATAGAGCAAGCAAGGCATTGGTGGGATAGTACAAGACCTTTTGATATATCTCAGTTAGATTGGGATACCTTCAAGCAGATGTTCTATGATCACTTCTTTCTAAAGGAGTTGCGGATGGAAAAGCAATTCTTGTTTTACTCCTTGAAACAGGAAGAGATGCATGAGGATCAGTTTATCACGAGGTTTATTGATATGGCAAAGTATGTGCCCAGGCGGACAAGAGATCATTCATTCTGGCTAGCTCAACAGTTGATGAACTACACAAGGCCAAAGCTGAAACAGCAATTAGCCCTATTGGAAGTCAATACTTTTAAAGAGATGTGTGTGAAGTTGCGAATTATAGCTGGATAGACTAGAGAGGTGGTAGAGGAAAGGAGGGCTGAAAACCAAGCTAGAGCTACCCGTTATCCTGAACCCACTAGAGGAGTGGGAAAAAGACATTAGTTTAGCTCAGGTAGCTTGGGAAACTCAAGAAGGAACAAGAATCAAGGACAGAATCAGAGATCAAATGCCCGGAGGGGTTTTATGCAGAGGCGTCAGAATCAGAATAATCAGGCTAGTGGGGGACAGAGCACCTGTTAGGATTCTTTAGTGACCACCCCAAGTGTTACTGGATCATGCCCCAAATACAGGGGTAGGCACGTGGGGTAGTGCTGGGAGTGCTTCCGGTGCCACAGATGGGCACATATTGCCAGAAACTATCCAGAGAGCTAGCCAATACCTCTAGTTGGTCATTCTACTGTTCCAGGACTCGTTTACGCCATGACCAATGAAGAGGCTTCTGCATACACAAACTTGATTTGAGGTAACATTCTACTCTAGGAACATGTTATTTCTGCTTTATTTGACTCGGGTGCTACACATTCCTTTATTTCTATAGATTGTGTATAGAAGTTGAAATTGCCTATGGTTGAGGCACTGTATGATTTGAGAGTATCTACTACTGTGGGAGTCACTGTCGTAACTACAAAAGCGTGCCTAAGGCTTGCAATTCAATTTGAAAATCAAGATCTAACATAGATTTGTTTTGTCTACCTTTAAAAGGTATTGATGTGATTATTGGCATGAATTGGTTAATGGACAATGGTGCAATTCTCAATTGTAAAAGGAGGTTAGTGATGATTCCAGTAGGTGTGCTATGAAACATCCTACCTTTAACCCCTCAGAGTACTCGTTTGGAAGCGTTGTGGTTCAAGCGATTCACAAAATAAGTCCATAGATTCAACTTTATGATTGCTCAAAGTTGGACTAAAAATCTACAATTTACCAGTAAACAGCAAAAAGTGTCACACCTCTCTTTATAACCCATTATACATCAATTAGAACTAGTATAAGTCATTTTGTAACACGTCTGGTTGAAAAATTTAAAATTTAGGATTCACTGTTCATCCTGTCCGTACACTGTTCATCGGCAAATAGGCTAACTTTAAAAATTCATAACTAATTCTAGAAAACTCAAAACAATGTGGTTCCAATTTTCACACAAAGCTTATGAAGAGTTCTATGGAGGAAAAATAATCCCTAGGTCCAAATCCATCCATAATAATTCCAGGAAATTTGTCAAGGTGCACTATTCATTTGGTAAATTTTTGAATTTCCAGTATTTTTGCCCAACTTTGGAAGGGCATAACTCTTAGCACAAAATTCCAAATTTAATAAATTACCACTTATTTTAAAGCTAAAAATGAGATCTATTTTCCTGTAAACTTTTATGCTCAAACTCTAACAATTGCGCATTATTTTATGTGCCACAATTTTGACACTTTTTATAGAATTTCTATCCCCTAATTACCATTTTCTTGATTTATTTCCTCTTTTTCCTTCAACCACATTCCTTCCACAATGCCTCAAGTATAATTCTAACATAGGAACATGGAATAACAATATGATTTACATCAAAATATCATCCATAACTTAATACAACCATAACATAAAGTTCATTACACATTGCATAACAATTCACCATAATACAATGTTCATAAAACTCCTTTATCCTAAGATCAACTTCTTTCCTTGCTCTATACTTGGTCCACTTCCTAATTAGTGCATAAAATAACATAGGAGGAATGAGATTTCAAAGAAATCTCAGTAGCATATGAATTATAATTATCATGTAAATCAATGCAAGTTTAATTGTGACATGTCATGCAATACAAACCATTCCCAACTCATAGGAATTAACACCAAATAATATGCAAGGAGAGGAACATTATGTTATCCACATTGACATATCACAAAGCATTTGGCTAGAGCATAACCAATGTCAATTAAACAATCAAATCACCACGTAGTTTCTCCAATCCAAGCAAGTAACAAATCACAACAAATAAGCAAGATAAACAATCA